TTTCATACCAAGACAATAAGAGGAAAAGACTTGCTGCTCTTTGGGGCTCAGGGTGTGGGAAGAAAAGGGGGTGGGGGAACAGAGAAGGGTATAGCAGGGAGAGGCTGGTGGTCAGGGGTAGGGCATCCCGGTGGCCTGGGGCTGGGCAGTGGCCTCCCTGAGCCCTCCTGGGGCTGCCGGTCCCACCATCCAGCTCCCTGACAGGGATCGACCTCATGTCATTGGGGTCCCCAGACCATCCTTCCTCTCTGGTATCCTTACCCACCAGCTGCCTCTCTGCCTCCACACCTCTTGAAAACAGCCCTTTCCCACTGGCAGTTTTTTTCTCTTGTCTGCCTGTCTCCTCCAGGGACTCCAAGTTCCTCAAGGATGGGAACAGAGTCAAACTCCCTTCCGTAATCCCAGCACTTAGCTTAGTGCCCAGCACGTATTAGGTCGAAGCTGAGCTGCACTGGAGTTATGCTGAGGGCTTGTTAACATATATCGCTGGGCTCCATCCCCAGAATTTCTGACACTGTCGTCCTAGGACGACACGCTAAAAATCACCACAGTGGATGCTCATAAAAGGTCTGCGCAAGGGGTGAATGAATGAGAGTCCCTTGCATGTAAGAACTGCTCCAGATTCAGCTTGCTCCTGAATTCTTATAGTTGGGTCCCCCTTAGCCCACCTCCTCTGTAAAGCCTCCCCGACCCCCGGGACCCCTGGTATCAGTATCTCTCCCCATGCTTCTCTTGGGCATGAGGGTCAGGTGTGTGTGCCCCATCTCAGCACACCCCTTGGACTCCCAAAGCTCTTTCTGGTGAGAATTCGGGACCATGGCAGCTTTGCTTACTCAGCCAACAAGACAAACCCTCCGGGAGGACTACAACCATGGCCCCCTCCCCTCCTGCACGTGGGTCACCAGGCCCATTGCAGCCTGAGGGAGAAGAAAGGAGGGGTACTTGGGAGGCCACACAGATCCTGGGGACCCAGGAGTTCCCAACACATAGGCTGAGGTGATCTTCCCAAAGGACAGAGTTTCCTGGAGGAGCAGGAATTCAGATGGCCCGACTCCACACCCAGGACACTTTCTCTAAGATCTGACAGCAGGGCCTGGAGGAAGTGCTTCCTGGCACAGTTCTTTACTCCCCACCACCAGCACAGAGGCAGGAGAGTGGTCAGTGCTGGTGGGGAGGACGAAGGAGGACGCCCTGGTGGTCAGCACCAAGGCCAGGGCCTGAAGCAGGGAAGATGCTAAGGTCCCTATGCAGCAAAACCCCAGGGGCACCATATACATTGTGATCCATGTGAACAGTGTCCCCCTGGAGTTGTGCAATGCATGGCCTGCACTGTTTTATGCAATAGTTGGTCCCACTAATCCTCGTCTGAGAAATTTCCTCATTTTTATGTTACCCAAATAACCACTGTGTACCCAGCAGGTGATCTGGCAGGCCATTAGAAGACGGCTTGTCCTTGGGGCTTTTAGGGTAAAGACCAGCTACCCACCGCAGCCAGGAGAAAAGTGCTTGAATGAGGGCATGCCCAGCGCTGGGGAGCCAGGGAGGAGTGGCTTGTCTCTGCCCGGTGAGGGCAGGTTGCTGGCATGTGAGGGCAGCCAGCTCCCTACGAGCCAGTTCATCCAGCCAGGCTGGCGGCTATCAGGTGGCAGCAGCTGAATCTGCAGCCTCAGCGTCTGGGGTTGGGTGGCTTCTTGCTTTCCAGGGACCCCTGGAGCTGAAACCCTGGGGTCTCATGGGCTGTGGCTGCCTCCCACCCCCTCCCGTTGCCATGGTGTAAATCTGCACAATCAGCGATGGGCCCCTCTGCCTCTAGGGGGCCCCTGCTCCGGGGGAGTGTAGAGGAAGGGAAAGGGGTAGAGGCAGCCAAGACACACAGAAGCAGCTCCCAGGGCTTCTGCCAAGGAGCTCAGCCCGCCTCATGTGGCCGGGTTCCCAGGCTCAGGATGCACGCTTCCCTGGCTCTGCCCAGCTGACGGCCACCTTTTCCAGGAAGCCTCTGGGGAGCCCTCCCCTAACCCTCAATGGCCTCTTCCTCTGGACTCTTAGAGATGCTGGAAGTCAGCCTCCACCCTCCAACTGCCCTGAGTGGGGACAGTCACGCAACTCCTTCCCATGCGGAACTCGGACTTCTGAGCTCAAAAGGCTGATCCCGGCTTCCCCCTGGGCCCTCAAGGACAGAGGGGACCTCGTGCTCTGTGACTCACCCTGCACTTCTGTCATGTCACCATTGACTGCACACGCCAGTTCACTCGTCTGTCACCCCACCAGACTAGGGGCCACTTCCGACTCACTGGAAGGTGTCTCTAGTACCCGGCCTGGGGCCTGGCACCATATAGGCACTCAGTTTACGTCTGTGGCTTGAATGACTTCCCTAGGAGATCCAGTGCCTGAGGGCAGAGTGTGCTTGTGAGTTCAGGCTGCTCTCCCCAGAACCTCCCTGGGGCCCCCCTGCACCTAGCGGGGATTACATCACACCCGGAGTTTCAAATCCCAACTGCAGCCTGGCCATGTTGTTAGACCCGGCCAGGCATTTCATTAGTTGATAAACTGAGTAACGCAGAAGACTAAGGCGCAAGCTGGGCTTCAACCCTGTAAATAAACAGAATAACACAAATGCAGCTTCACTCATGCAGCTCCAGCCAGAGTAGGAAGTCAAACGTCACATCTGGGTAAGTGGGTCCCCATGGAAGGAAGCTTCAGGGGTGCTGAGTAAATGGCTCCAGGGCCCACAGGCTTCTGAGTCGGGGGTAGCAACCATTCAGAGCGGTCTGTCCAGTTTCCAACAGGCAGAGGTGTCTGGGGCAGGCGAGGCCCAGCCGTGGCCACAGGCAGATAGCCTCCTTGGCTTCTCCCAACCAAGGCCCACCCGCTCTAGGGTCTCATTCCGGGCCACCTCACCTCATGCTTTTTCCTGCTCAGGCCACAGATTTAATCTTTTCACCTGGAAAGCCCTTTCCTTACAAACGGCAAGTTCCAGCAGAAAGGCCACTCCTCTGTGAAGCCCTTCCCCTACCCCCTCCCCTGGATCCCCTGGGCTCTCTGCAGCCAAGGGGTAACAGGATGGAAACAGCATTCAGTGGTAGGTACCTTCCCTTAGAGGTCCAAGGGGTGGATGGCAGTGGGGTCCCTAGACCCTGAAATCTCCATCACCCCTCCCTGTGTGCTAATGTTAATCCTAAAACTGATACCAGGGGGAGGGTAGAGCTCAGTGGTAGAGCATGTGCTTAGCATACAAGAGGTCCTGGGTTCAATCCTCAGTACCTCCATATAAATCAATTAATTAATTAATTTTAAAAACCCAATTACCCCGCCCCCCCCAAATAAAGCATACATAAACAAACAAACTAATATCCTTGGATAGGAATAATTCACATTTCCCAGTCAGCTAAATTTTTCCCACTTTATAGATTTGAAATAAACAATCTAAATAAAAAGCCATCTAGTTGCTATGCACATAGAAACAGCTTTCAAGGAAGTCCCCCGATTCCCCTTCCCTCGACATGACTGCCCCTTTAACCACGTCACGTAGAAATTCCAGGCTTCCCTGCGGCTGTGAGGTCTGCCCACCCTTCCCTGCCGAGATGCAGCTGGGAGGTCACATCCTAGCACCCAGCAAGTGCCTGGCACATGGCGCGTCTGCAATAATCAGGAGGCAAAGAAGAGAAGTTACTGCCAGGTGAGGCCTGACTCACACAGGGGAGACTCTGCCCGCAGGCATGTATTCTCGGGCTTTGTCCTATAGCAGGCTATTATTATTTCCATTTTGCAGATGAGAAAACTGAGGCTGAGTTGGGACGCCCTTAAGGCACCACAGTTGGCTCTTGCCCTGGTCCTGTCCAGTCCCTGCATCTAAGCTGCCCCAGGGTGGTGAGGACAGGCAGCTGGAGGCCATGGGCATGAGTAATAGTTGGTTACCATGTCTACATGGGGCTCTGAGATGGTCTCGGCTTCCTCTTGGCCCTTCTGAGCTGCCCGAACTCAGACTTTCCAGCCTCTCATCCTCAGGCTGTTTCTGCAATAACAGGACTGCCCTCTCTCCTACATTCCAACCCGTGGCGCCCCGGGCTCTCCCTCCCTGATCTCAGGTTGAGGGGTCAGGGAGTCTCTGAGTCCAGGTGCCCACTCAAGCCCCCACTGCTGACCTGAGGGGAGACAGCATAGAGGACGCCAGCCTCATATCTGGATTTTAAAGCTGGGTCACAGCCAGACACATTTTAATTGCTACATGTCTGTTTTCTGTGTGGGCATTTTCCCTTCCTGATGGACTCTTACAAACATTTTATTGTTATATTTCTTGTAAGACTGCCTGGAATCGTTATTTAGCCATCATAAAAAAATCATTATATTTTTAAAAGGAAGGCTGAGAAGTTCCTACCAACAATACAGAAAGCTGAGGCTCACACACACGCGTGCGCGTGTGTACACACACACACTCACACACAGGCCTGTCCACACCCAGCCGCACACAAACATGCAAGTTTGTTCAGACAGGAAAGAGAGGTTTATCACCATGCCACTTGCAAAAGAGAAGTGAATGAATAATTTATAGCGCTTTTTACAAACATTTAGATTTTCAAAACATTCTAGAAAAATCCGGTTCAATTACTTACAGCAGCAGTTCTCTGAGAAACCAACCCAGAAATGGTTCCAAATAAGTAAAATTTACAATTCCCCGTAGGCCTGCCTTCTACAGAAATGCATCATAAACATTAACCTCTCTTTTTTTTAAATATACCAGAACCCACAAAGCCATTGCTCTCATTAACTGAAGGCGCTGTATGATAAATACTTGAACCTGTTACTTTGAAAAGGTTCCTGACTTAATGTACAGATATTTCCCATTTAGTTTGGCATGAAGGTCACCATTCTCTTTGGTGCCAGTTCCAGAGGCTCCCTGAGATGCCAGGGGACACGGAAGCAGGCGGGGGGTCGGCGGGGCTGGAAGGAGGGGCCCACACACTGCCCCGGCCACCTTGCACCTGCAGCCCAGCCAGACTCACCAACAACTGGCCAATGTGAGTGTCTGAAGCACGTGTCCCTTGACAGTTCCACTGAGATCCAGCCCCCCTCTTCTCGCTGGGGTCTCCCTCCTACCTGTGAGCAGCCTGACTCAGGTTCTGAAGACAGGGCTCACAGTGGCACTCAGCAGGCGTAGGAACTGCCAGGGGCTCAGACAGCCGGGGAGCCGCCCCCTCAGCCTGCACCCCAGCTCCTGGCCACAGGGACTGGGCCGGGTGGTGACTGATGCTCGGTTACAGAGTGTACTGTGGGAGCGCGGCTCTGCCTTGATACTTCCTGTTTGGGGAGGAAACCTCCCTAGTAATAATTAGTGGTTCAGACTCAAGTCTCTTTGCTACAGGAACTGAAGCAGGACAGCCAGCCGAACTCAGGATCTATAAAAGGAATAAATGTCATTCAGTGCAGGGCAGACTGCCTCACTACAGGCTGTGTGTGTGTGTGTGTGTGGGAGGGAGGGAGATGCCTTTACTCTTCGGGATACAAAGCCAAACATAATGGCTGCAGAAAATGGCAATTTATCAATTGCTATGAGTGGTAATTTACTGCCATCACCGTGGCTGTCATTGGCTTGGGGATAATTCTCTCTGCATTTTGTGCCAACAAAGGCTTCCTGGTCGTCTTTACTTTCCAGTCAGTGCCCGTGGTGGGGGGAAAGACGGACAGATAGAAGGACCTGCAGAAAGACAGCCCCGTCCTGAGGGCAAAGCATGGATGGGGCAGGTCTGTCTGCTGCTGCTGCAGGCTCTTTAGTGAGGCCACACCAGTGGCACAGAGGCCAGAGGTTTGGAGGTTTTTGTATAGGAGTAAATTACACCCTGTCCAGTCTTAGGACAAGTATATTTGTTTGGTTTTGACTTGTTGGAAAACTGGTGATCTTGGAGGAAACTAGCTCTGAGTAACCCCGGGCATCTGGGCCTTTGATGACCAGAACACACACCCTGGGCTCCAGGCAGGTGCGCTCTTATTACCAGCACAGATCAGGGCCTACACGGTTCTCTATGTCTCGTATCTTCTACTCAAGAGCACTCCCTGTGGGCAGGGGCGTTCCTGGATCTCCCGGGAGTCCAGCCAGGCCAGCTCCCACAGACCGAATTCCCCTGCTCAGCTCAGTCACCACTTGCCTGCGTTCCCATCCCTCAGTCGCTCCCCACTTCTCCCAACACTGTCACCTCCATCTGAAGTCCTGACATCCTCTCCACCATCCAAATACTCCTTCCCTGAAGATCCAGCCTGAGCCCTTGGGCACGTGAGGCCCCTCCCAACCTCCTCCAGCCCCCCAGCCACCTTCTCTGCTCTGAATACGCATGTCCTGTGTCTGCTGTAGGCCTGGGCCGCATGCAGCCTGCTGGGCCGGTGGGCGCTCGAGCGATGCTCTTAAACAGTGAGCACTGAATTGCTTAAGAGCTTCAGTAGCCAGCTTCTGAGTAGCTCCAGGCATGAAGCCCCTGCCCGATGCAGTGGTCCAGCCAGGCTCAGTACGCTCTCTTCCTCTCAAAGCTTCTGGGTGGTCTCCCATCCCCTTGGAGAAGCTGCCTTGTCAGGAAACCACACTTCCTTAGGAAAGCAAACCCTCCAGGTGGGAGCCCACAGGAGCTCCAGGTTTTAGCTGTGATCCCCTGTCCCCGGGGTTCTCCCTGAGCCCCTAGCTGTGTCCTGAGCTCACCCCAATCTTGGGACCCCACCCTCTTCCTCCCACCACATATCAGATCAGAAAGTTCAAGAAGCCTTGTAGCAAAGGTTAGAGAAGCCAGAACTCAGAGAGCATCGTCAGGTCTCCAACCTCCAGCCTTTCACTCCAGGAACACCAGGAGGGCGGGGCTTTCCCGGATGGAATCCCCTGAACCTCCATCACCACGCTTGGCTGCCTGGCCCAGCACATCTTGTTTTCTTCCCTTCCAGTTCTAGGCGCCACCTGATTTCCGGCCAGTCTGGAGCCAGCACTGCTGACCAGCCACAAAAGGCCTGTTGTTACCTCCTGTGGCTGCTTAGCTCTATGCCCAGGTCATGGCTGATTCATCACACCCCCTGCCACACTGTGACCGATGCTCTACTGACCCATGGGCAGGTCTGGCTGGCCACCCAGGCTCAGCACAGGCCCCTTGGATTCCAAAAGGCCCATCAGAGGGAAGGGTATAGCTCAAGTGGTAGAGCGCATGCTCAGCACTCAAGAGGTCAGGGGTTCAATCCCCAGTTCCTCCTCCAAGAGGAAATCAATGAAGAAACCTAATTACCTCCCCCTCATAAAACAAATAATACAATCCAAAAGGCCCATTAGTGTGACTCTGAAGGCCCTGTGTTTGGCCATCCTGTCTTTGCACAGATTCCACCTGGAGGGCCCATCTCACAGATCCACCTGAGACCCTTCAGCATCCTCAGCTGTGATATCTGAGTGATTCACCTTCATGAAGACCTCCACCCCAACTGCAGGGCATGCTGTCGCCCTCCTAAGCCCACCAGTCAAGTCACAGGCCTCCCCTCACCACAGCCGGATGGCCACCACAAGCATCTCAAACCAAGATGGCCCACTCCCCGTGGAAAGCTTAGGAAGCCCATTCGCCAGTCCCCAAATTCCTTTACGTTTACCTGTGACCGACTTGCTAGTCTTGGGGCTACATTTTTCAGTTTATTCTCCTAATCTGATGGCTCCAAAAGGTTTAAAAACGTGCTGTGCACTTAAGACCCCACCTGGCTCTCATGAAGCGGAAGCCGGAGCGAGGAGCCAGTTACTGCCTGATTGCAGGACAGTTAGCGCTCACCTGCTGCACGCTCTGCCAGGTGACTGCGGTGACTGATGAGGACACACTGACTGGGAAGGGTTGAGCATCACGTAATTCTCCAGTGACAGTGTTTCAGATCAAAGGAGGATGGAAACATTTTGCTCTGGGTTGAAATGACAATGCAGGAGTTTATGGTCCCACATAAATCAGCCGCTGATCCCACCCTGACAATAGGTACAGTGGTCAATACTTCCATCTCAGGGGGCAGCTGTCTCTGATGTTGAATCCTGGCTGGCATTAGCTGTGGGACCCGGGCCTCAGTGATGCCGACTTCCCCACTTGTATTCAGAAAGAAGCGGTGGGTATGGGTTTTGGTGGGGTTATAAATGCCAACGGACATTCATCTGACCAAAGTGGGACTCAGCCAGGTCCTGAGTGCCTGGCACCAAGCTGGTGCGCAGTAAATATCTGTTGAATGAATAAACAATGAGGCAGAATTTGGACAAGCATCTATAGTTAATGGTTAGGAGTCTCAAATTTGGGGTTGAAAGAATGGATTGGAGTCTCCTGCGTTCTTGGGAAGGTGACATGGTTGGGGAAATAGCATTGTCTACCTCAGAAGAGAGTTGGAAGTTTCAATGGGCTCACATACAACGTGCTTGGCCCAGAGTCTGGCACGTGGGAGGCTGAATGTCCAGTGACGATTGACATTTCAGGGGTGATCAAAGTGGTGCCCGGTGCACACCAAGGATGTGAGGGACTGACATGCAGAGGTCTGGGAGTGGCAGGAGGTCAGGCTGGAAGGGCAGGTGGGCCCAGTTGCAGGGGGCAGACAGGAGGAAGTGAGACTTCTGTAGCCAAACATTTAAAAGCCATTTAGAGTGCCCGCCCCCACCCCTGGCCTCCCACCTCCAAGTTCTGTAACCTCCACAGCTCCTGGCGCAAGGTTGGGATAAAAGGAGAAAAAGGAACACACCCCTCAAACCCCCAGGAGGGAAAAAAAAGAGCCACTGAGGTCTTAGGTTTTAGTAACTGCTTAAATGGGCCAGCTTCCTTGTTTTAAATCAAGAGGCCCATTATTCTTGGTCTGGATGCTAGAAAGCCATTTCCTAGAGGGCATAACTTATGCAGCTTGGACCGCCCAGCACAGCCCAGCCCAGCCCAGTAAGACCCGGCCACTATGAATGGTGGGGAGAGCAGGAAAGGCTGGATCCAGCTTCAGCTGGGGCCCAGGGAGGCTGGGCGTCGCTGCAGAGCCTGCTTCCTTCCCCCGCCCTGACCTGCCTGATGCCCCAGCACGTAGAGGTTTCCACCTGCAGGCTGCACAGGGCATGAAGCAGGCAGCACTGACTTCTGCTCCTAGTTTGGGAGGCATCAGCCAGGACACTGAGCAGGAGCCCTGAGGCCTGGGCCCGAGGCCAGGTCTGCAACAGAGAAAGGGACCATGGAGGCCACTCTCTGGGCCTTAGTTACCTTCCCCAGTGAACTGAAGGGTTCAGACTAGAAGATCAACGAACCTGCAAGAACCCCAGCTGATTTTCAGACTCAAAATCAGGGGGAAGGGGGAGGTATCTGATATTTACTGCAACCCAGAACTCAGCAGGTATTATCCTAAATCCCCCAGGCAGGTATTACTGTTCCTGTTTTACAGGAGCATTAGGTGTCAAGTCCTTAGCAAGGTTTTATAGATGAAGAACCAGGTTCAGAATGCTGAGGACGTGGCCAAGGCCACACAGTAAAGAGCTGTGATTCAGACTCGGTCTCTCAACTGCAAAGCCAAGCGTCCTCCCCCGCAGTCACCCAGCTTCCACTGCCTGCCCTCTCCACAGCTCAGGTGTGCAGCAGTGGACTTCAGTCCTCAGCTTTTCCTTTTTAACTACCTGAAGCCCTGCACGATGCTCTGATAAGTCCAGTGAGGGAAGGGCCCTGGCATAAGGACTGGGAACCTGAATGGGAGAGGAATTTACCTGTTTGGCCTCTCTAAGCTGGAGGGGGCACACCTATGGGCCCAGTGGGACCAGGTCTGGTCCTGGGGCGCTCAGCAGGCTTGGGGCTGGCTGTCCAACCTTCTTGTGAACTGGTGGCCTGGCTTGAGCTCCCTGCCAGCTCCAAGGCCAGGGTCACCTGCCAACTCCAGGCTTTCCTCCCCCAGGCCTGCCTGAGACCACCTGTCCACCATTCAAAGCCTCCTTCAAGAAACTTTTTCTACTCCAGTGACAGCCCCTGCTCCACTAAATCCATTCATCCATCAGACATTGACTAAGCACGTGCTCCAAGCTGGCCCCTCCGCTGGCCACTGGGGACAGAGATGGGCACAAAGATGAGTAAGATACAATCCCAGCCCTCCAGGTTCTCCTGGCTGGATGCAGGGCGGTTCACTCTGCAGTCTCTGATTCAGCCAGCTGTGGGTAGGACTGAGGCATTGGATTTTTAAGGAACCACGCCGATGACGGAAGGGGTACGCCTAGGTAAGATCCTTTGGAC